ACTTCAAGAGTAGTTAGATTATTATAAAGTAATACTTAAGACTGATGGATACATCAGAAATGTTATACATTAAAGTGAAAGAAAATACATTATTATGTAGTATTATGGAAACATTAATGGTAGATTAAAGTTTACTTTATATCATATTTGCATATTTCTGTCACATCACATTTTTTTTGAAAAGACATTATTTGAGCAGTTATTCCCATAGCCTTTCTCTCTTCGGCAAGTTTGCAAATGTGTTAGACAGTGTGACCTTAATTGAACAGAATGTAATTGAACAAAACACACAAACAAGTAAATCTACTGTATCTAGAGGCTACACAAATCTATTTTTGCTTTTGACTTAACTGCTTTTTGAAAATATTGTTTTCTCTAACTTCAATACACTTAGAATTTCTACATGCCTGTCTTCCGTAATATTTTCTCCATCAGTGGTCCCAGGTAAGTTCACACAGAGGCAAAGGATACATCACATCAAAGACAAAGTGAAATCTTCTTACCTTTCAACAACTCTGAATGACCCCTTCTATTTCATTTATCTCACTTCATTTATTCAGAAAAATAAGCAATTAGAAAAAAACTGGTCTATTATTTATTATATGATTGAAAAGGTCAGAAGGAAGTGGGGATTCTTTATCCAAACCATTCACTATAGAGTAATGATACTGTCTGAGTCACTTCCAAAATTCTGAATAATCTTCTTGGTCTTCGCAGAGAGATCCTTCTATGGGAGACTTTTGTTGTCAATGTGTGACATATGTGATATCAGCCTTCCACTCATGTAATCCCTCCTTCAGTACATTTTTTGAGCAATTCCCCTGTGTCCTTTTCCTATGTTAGGCTCCAAGCAACCTTACAGATCTCACTGTAAAGCAAGGAGTTAGATGCTGTTGCCAAAGCAACAGTACTAATTTTGCTCTTTGTGTTTAATTTTTCCTATATTGATGGCCCAAATCCCAGGGTTTTATTTTTTCCTCATAAACAGGGCAAGATTTAAAATATAAAGTTGTTGCGCATTTTGCATTGTGTTTTTAGCAACTTGCTCATCAGAATCAATCTGATACATCCAAAACCGTGCCATGTCATTTCCCTCTGTCTTCCCTTTCTGTGTTTTATTTCTGAACTCATCCCTCAGGCTGCCTACTGTCCCATCATCTAACAAGGCATCTATGAGGGCAGTTTGCTCAAGGCTCCTGTTCTCTGAAAAACACTTCCTAAGTATAGCCTTAGCAGGATCTCTGGGAAGGCTCTGAGACTCGATGTTTGGTGTTCATCACTGGAAAGAGAGGTAATGAATGAACTGTAGTTCCTTCAGGCCATTCAGTTGTTTTATGCTCTCTTGGTGAAACCAACTGGAACATTTTAAGAATGACAAAGCATACTGGACTTGTCAGAGCCAGGGCTACTGGTTGTTTCTCTGACCTCTGGAGAAAATATTGTCATAAATGATCAGGGCTTAATGCTTTTCAGAACCTTTGCACTTTAATGAACCCCATCCTCCCTTACCAGCAAAGCTCTTTATTCCAGAAAAATATATCTACATCTTCCTATCTCTAGCTCTATATTCTCATAGATATCTCTATTCCTACCTCTATTCCTATTAATTGCTCCATAAATATTGCCACTTATCAAAACATGTTATATGTTAACTATATATTTAACTTTGCAAAGCACATTTATTATAAGGGCAATTTATAGATAAGAGCCATGTGTCTTATTGCCCATGGATGCCCTCATTGCACGGGAGTCAAGGACCCAAACCAGGCTTTGCTGGTCATAAACTGCAGGATCTTGGCCAAGTTTCTTCACTCTTGGTTTCTGGATCAGCCAAATAAAGAAATGGACTAAGTGATCACTAAAATCCCTTCCAACTCTAATCATCATTTCATTACACTGATACAGTAGAGAGATTATAGCAGCTCAATAATCATGTTTGGCAAATATATAAAAAGAAAGATATTTAAGAAGGAAAATTTTTCTGAGAAAGGAAAGGGTCCATGAGGCTAAAGTAACTCTAATTTTTATACTCTATTGTCCATGGGGACATCATTTTCATTTTTTCAAGAGTAAAATATTTAACCACATCATTTTCAGTAAATCTTTTCTTAACTGAGTTTGTTATTTAATTAAAATTTGTTTTAGGAAATCTTACCAATAGCACAGGCTAAAAGTACCTTTTGAAGAAAAGTTAAGTCTAGATGGAAATGGACAGAGGCTATAGGAGAAAATATTAGTAGGAAGGTGACAAGTGTTGAGAAAAACCTCACTGATTTGTGTAGTAGTCAAGTACCCAGCAGACAACACAGAGTATATCAAAGGTTTTCTCTGAAGAGGGTTTAATGGAGGGACTGCTTACAAAGGTATAAAACAAATGTAAGGGCTTAAGTTAGGTACTCACACTTTGTGTATTCAGTGTGAAGAGGACAGTAGCAATCATGAAGACACCGTTGCCACATCTAGACCTAAAATTAAAGAGGCATGAGCAAGATTACTGCAGCCAGGAGAGAAATAGTGGAAAATAAGCCACCCACCAGAAGCTGGTCCCTTAGAACACGGCCACTATCAGATGTATAGTAAAGCAACAAGGGAATGACAAGGACAGGGCATGGGAATCATTACCTCAATTTTTCTCTTCCTTTATTTTCTGATATCCTGCCAGTCCCTTCCATTGGCTCTCTGCACCTCAGAGGGTCACAGAACCCAAATGACATAGGTTATAGTGGTAAGAGCAAGTTAAAGAGGGTGGTAGATAAATATGTAAAAGAAACAGAGAGTAACTAGCATACCCAATCAGTTCTGCCATCCAGCATCCATTCACATCCTCTACTTGAGGAAGAAATTCACATTCCACCCCTCCCATCACCACCACCACCAATAAACACAGTTTTATAGAACTCTCCCAGTAATGGCAGGATGTTGTCAATTCAGTCATATTTTCAGCAGGAATTTAAACTGTAAAGAAGGGAGGTACCATGGGTACTCTATATAAAACTTAAGAGAGAAGAATTATAATAAATAACAATACCAACAAAAACATTGCTGTGATTTTTTTTCTCTAGCAGGCATTAAACTGAATTAGATCATCATAGCTTTTTTTTCCATCACTCATTTCATTTTATCCTTACCTGTTCCAACAACTCAACAGGTTGACTTCATTATTTTTCTTGGAGAAATATTTCTCACAGAAATATCTTCCTTATTGAATCACTTCAATCATGTATTTCATTATTAGTAAATGACTCTATCTTCATTATTTTTCAGTGAGAACTGTAGTTCTCATTGACAATTGTTATTTGGGAGTAACATGACTAGTGAATCCTATAGATTCTGGACATGGGTCTCCTTGCCAGCATTGTAGAGTGGTAACCCCATTTCTCTTTGGTAATCAGAATCAGTTGTCCCAGTCAGTACAGCAGCTCCTTCAATGTTTGTTGGTTCAGCTACCTGAAGGGACTAAAATGGTTTATATTGCACCTCATATTAGATAGAGATTCTATTCAACGATTAGGGTTTTTTTGCCTTGGTTTTATATTATTCCTATGAATTCCATGTAAAACATCTATATGTACTCTGCTAGGCATTTCCCCTCTAGCTCTTCTTATGAAAATAGAATTCCATCTTTTATAACTATCCCCAATAGAAACTTGAGATTGCTTCTTAGACTGTTGATAGTATGAGAGGAATCAACTGAGCTGATAATATTATAGTGCCTCTGAAACAAAAATACATTATATGTTAAAAAAAAAAAAAAGAAGATAGCAGGAGAGGAAGAATGAAGCGGGGGAAATCGGAGGGGGAGACAAACCATGAGAGACGATGGACTCTGAAAAACAAACTGAGGGTTCTAGAGGGGAGGGGGTTGGGGGGATGGGTTAGCCTGGTGATGAGTATTAAACTGGGTGTTATACGCAAACAATGAATCATGGACCACTACATCAAAAACTAATGATGTAATGTATGGTGATTAACATAACATAATAAAAATATTAATAATTTATTGAGCATCATTTTATAAATTAAAATGTCCAATCCTGAGTAGACAGCAACAAATCATTAACACACGCCAGATGAATGAGTGGTATATACATAAATTGTGACCCTAAGCTGCAAGGGAAATTGTATATTAACACTTTTGTGCCAGGAACAATTTTTAATCATTTGATTACAATTGTGATGAATTAATTACATTTTCTTGCAAACTATATATAATACTGATATATCTTTGTTTGTAAACAAAACTGAAATGCAAGACAGCAAATAAATTCTCATGGCCATCACACAAATGGCAGAATGGTGACCTGAAGGTAGAACATCCTATTATAAAATTCATTTTCCTTTGAATACAAAATGGAGTTTTCTATCTGCCAAAGTACTGACTGTTGTTTCTTTAAGTTCTGCACATAATAGAACTTAGTAATTTAAAGGAAATTTTGTTTAAAGATATCTGTATTCCACTTTCAAAGTGGAAATTTAGGAAGAGAAATTAAGGCAAATGAATTTGAGTATCATGTCAGACTGAGGATCTTTAATCACTATCATTTCACACAAAGGAGCCTGAAATTGCCTGAGAAGAGAAGTTAAGAATTGAGGTATGCTCTATAAAAAAATGCTAATGCTATAAAAGGCAATTCAGATGTGAGCCCATTAAGAGAAAGTAATGATTTAAAACGGTATTTTAAAAACTACATTTAGGGTAATTTCTTAAAAATTGAAGCTACTTTTGGGGGTAATAACTTTTATACAATCAGTTATTTTGAAAACTGCAATTGAGAAAATGGTATCAGTGTGAACTTCTTTTATTCAGTTTTAAATGAAAAGTGTGAAAATTAATATTATTTGGGAGAAAAGGACATTATATGAAATAATTCTAGCATGTATTCAATAAACTGTTGAATCTGATGTTTGAATCACCATCCACACGATATGGAACAATCTAAAGCTATTCCTACAAATAGAGCACATTCAAACAGAGTGATGACGATGATTTACTTTTTCAGGTGAGCTGTATTTCTTCATTTGTTTTCCTGGCTTTCAGCAGTCAAGCTCTCTCAAAGTACCTACATTACCTCACTGGCAGAATCACCCTGAAGGTAAATGTGGATAAATTACCAGGTCACAGATGATAAATGCAAGAAAACTCCTGGGCGGTAATTTCACTTCCCCAAAGATTGTGGGTGCCCAGAGAACCAAGATTATAAGTGGCTGACTGGAGTCTTTCAGCTGGAAGACACGTTCCAACCAAGTGACTGATTTGTCACTGAATCTTCGCTTTCATCAAAAAGTTACTACTGTGTCCAGACAATCAGGAGAATAAAGTGTATTTAGTCACAGAGAATATTCCATGCTTTTTCTATGTGCAGTGCTGTGGAGTAAAAAGGATACTATCTCAATATAATTGTAATAAAAATAATAATAATGGACAATTTGCTCTGAATGTTTTCTATGTCCCACTCACCAGCTAAGAACCTATAATAACCCTAAAAAGAGAATCCTCTTTATTATCATTATTTATATATAGATTAGAGAGGTTAAATGGCTTCCTCAGGTTTCCTGTGTACCAAAAGAGCCTCTTCCTTCAATTGGAATTATATATATAATTATATATTATATAGAAATATTTTATTGTATATAAATATTTTATAAATATTATATATAAATATTTTAATACAAATAAATATTTTAAATATATAAAATAGTTTAAGTAAGTATATTTATTTATAACATATAAATCATATGTAATTAATTTAATATACATAATATTTATATAATATGTTATATATATTTTTTCTTTATAATTCTGCCCAGATTATTTCATTTGTTCCTCACAGCTACCCATTTTAAAGTAGAGGAAACTATGTCTCAAAGAAGATATTTTTCCTAGCATGGAATTGTAATTGCCCACTTGAGATAATTTTAATCAGTGATCTGAAATGTATCCAAGAGGGCTCCCCATCCCTATAAACAACTAGTTCACTTCTTCAAAGAGGATCTTAACTGTTCAGATAACTCATGTTTGCAGTGGAAGTCCTCTTAATTTTTAGATATTGAATGACCAGTGAGCTGCATAGAGAGATTCTCTAGGATCGAGGGTTGTGAATGGATTTTTATTATAATTAGAGCACATCACATGCTCTAATTACAGGACATTTTTCAGAAATTATTTTAGTTTATACATTTCAGCTAATTAGCTTTAGTTAGTGTACATTACACTGAGCAATCCTATAATGTGAATTTTAAGTGTTAGCTACATATTTTCTGATGATGAATGCTACAGATTACAGAGTAGACTAAAATATAAATAACATATGATAAGATGCATCCTGCAGGCCATGGGAAAATGGGTGGCCTATACTCTATTCAGGTGATATAAAGAAGACTAAATTGCAGGTGTACAGAAAATACAATGAAAGCTAGAATAAATACAAGTGCCCTCTCTGGTAGCGAAAAAGCCCTTTCTTACAAGGATTTTCTCTTTGGTCTGGCAGTTTTAAAATTCTACACCTTTATTACCCAGGGAACGTTCAGAAAATGGGCTTTGGGATTCTGTGATTTCTTCAAGAATAAACATATCAGTGATTTGAAATATGCCCATAATTTTAGTGGCGGTACATTCAAAGGGTGTATCATTGCAAATATAGAACCCTATCGCATATGTAACATAAGTGAATTTGAGAGAGGAGGAATAAGTAACTACATTTTATTGTTCAGATGAGATACCTAAGGCTCACATTAAGTTGAGCTGCCCCTCACTGGTAAAACAGGACATCTGATGCTGATTTTTGTCAGTTAGATTAGAGTCAGGGCACAAAACCACTCTGTAATTTTAATGGAAAAAAATAATATAATATAGCCCTAAGTAGAAATAGGTCATTAATTTTTAAAAGATAAAAAAACTGCAAAGATTACAGGAATAGCAGATCTAGTGAACAGCCACTATCTCCATGGCTGAGGCAGAGGGTCCAAGAAAGAAGTACATGACTACCCTCAACACACCAAATTAAGACTTTGTTGGATAGGCTATGCCCACTAAATAGTGACATTTATGAAGATGCCACAGGCTGGGGCTGGCAAATGGGAAAGCACCCATTGTGATGCCAGAGGAACTCTCTAAGAAGTGGCCACTGGGGTGTTACTGAAATCCACTGGGAGGCATTACCCTAGATGTTCCACACACCTGGTTGCTGAATCATGCAGGAGCCAGAAGAGAGGAGCACACTTGAAGCAGTTAAGGAAACACTTTTCTCCTTCAATGGTCATCCTGCATCATCTAAAAAAACAAAACAAAACCACAATATTGTGCCAGCTGGCAAAGAAGAAAGCTTTACAGGTTCTAGCTGTGGTATCATAAAACAGGGCAAAGGAGATTAAATTTAAATTGAAGAATACATTGATAACTGGCAGATCACCTCATAAGGATGTTTTATGTATGAAAGATACTAAGATATTTTGAAAAAAATAGAAGGGGTATAAATATAAGATGGCACTGTCAATTTGCCATTAAACTGCAAAATCTATGCAGCATAATAATACACTGCTTTCTGCTTGATATGGCCAGAGTATATCAGCAATTCATTTATCTATGTGATGCTTATTTTTTTTTTTTTTTTTTTTTTTTTTTTTTTTTTTTTTTTTTTTAAGATTTTATTTATTTATTTGAGAGAGAGAGACACAGCGAGAGAGGGAACACAAGCAGGGGGAGTGGGAGAGGGAGAAGCAGGCTCCCCGCAGAGCAGGGAGCCCGATGTGGGACTTGATCCCAGGACCCTGGGATCATGACCTGAGCTGAAGGCAGTCGCTTAAACAACTGAGCCACCCAGGCGCCCATGTGATGCTTATTTTTATGTGTCAAACTGACTGGGTTTTCCAGATACCTGTGAAAACATTATTTCTGAGTGTTTTTCTGAGGGTGTTTCTGCAAGAGATTAGCATTTGAATAGGTAGACTGAGGGCAAAGGAGATTGTTCTCACCAACATGGGCAGGCATCATCCAATCTATTGAGGATCTTAAAAGAAGGGGAAAAAAAGGAAGAAGAGTGGATTTAATCTCTGCTTGAGCTGGTACATCCATCTCTTCCTGCCTTTGGACATTGTTGCTCCTGGTTCTCTGGCCTTTGGACTCAGGGCAGGACTTACATCATCGCGTCCCCCACTCCCCCCGTTTCTTGGGTCCTCTGTTTTGAACTGGAACTACACACCAGCTTGCAGATGGCAGACCACGAGACTTCTCAGCCTCCATAATCACATGAACCAATCAAATCTCTTCTTATATATCTCTATATATCTCATTGGTTCTGTTTTTCTGGAGACTTCTTATCAATATAATCCTTTTATATATATTCAACCATTTATTCATTTATGTATCAACCAACAAATATTTATTTACCAACTACGTGAATATTAATGTCATTGATTAACCAGTACATTCATTAATCCTTTAAGTCAATAAATATCTCAACCCTAACTGTTTGCAAGTTAGTGTTACGGGTACTGAGTGTTCATTTATGAACAAAATAGATATTTTAAAAATCTAGCCCTCATGGGCACAAAGAGTTGGCATTCTGACAGGGGTTGTGGGTGAAGCAAGTAGTAAAAATAAGTAAACAAATAACCATATAACATATTAATTGGAGCTAAGTGATATAGGAGAAAATTAAGCAGAGACAGCGGATAGGAATTCCAGGGGATTTTGCAATTTTAAATTCAATAGTCAGAGAAATCCTCACTGAGAAAGTGACACTTGTGCATCACATTAAAAGAGATGGTAAGAAAGCCATGGATATATTTGCAGAAAGAATGATGCAAGAACCCAGGAGAGGAGTATACCTAGTATATTTTAGGAAAAGCAAGGAATCCACTATGGCAGGGTAGAGGCACAGCAGTAGTTTCTTAGAGGACCATAGAAGAGTCTTAGAGTCTTAGAGGACCATAGAAGACATTACTAGGGCTTTTAAAATTTGCTTTGAGTGAGCCAAAGCAAATGTTTTGAGAAGAGTGACATGATTCATATTCTAAAGCAGCTAACTTCATATACTCTGTTGAGAAAAAACTATCTGGTAACACAGAAATGGAAAAAACAGGAGATTATAACAGTAATCCAGGTAAGAGATGATAGACAGTTGGACTATGTCAGTAATGAGATCCATAAAAAGTATTATTTTTCTTTTTAGTTAAATTATTTATCTTGCATTCTTGTTATCCACTCAATGCTTGGGTCTCCTCCAAATTCATATGTTGAAATCATAACCACCACTGTGCTGGTGTTAGAAGGTGGAGCCCCTGGGAAGTAATCAGGTCATGAGGGTGGAGCTCTCAATGAACAGGATTAGTGCCCTTATAAGAAGAGAAAGGAGAGTGTGCTTGGTCTCTCTCTCTCTCTCCCAGGTAAGAAAACAGGGAGAAAGCAGCTATTTTCAAGCCAGGAAGCAACCCTTAACAAACACTGGATCTGACAGCCCCTTGAACCTGGACTTTCCAGCCTCCAGAACTATGAAAAATATTGTTAAGCCACTTAGTCTAGGTAATTTGTCCAAACTGACTAGGACAACTCTGAATCAAGATTTGAAATGTCATCATCAGATAGGTATAGTCAATCACTCTGTTAAGTAAACATTCAAAACTTATTTGCCTAAAGAAGTACTAGCTTTCAAAGAAAGCTAAATTTCATACGTGAAGTGTCATTCCTCATAAGAATTTTAAATCTTTTTTTCCCTCTGTAAATGGATTCAGAATCTAGGACCATTATTAGAATAATAAATTCTAAATTTTATCTAATCCAAGACTGTATTTTATAAATCAGAATGCTGTGTTACATATGGCAAATACTCCTCACAAATGAGCTTATACAGAAAGGGGAGAGAGTATTGGTGTATGTCATAGAGGATTCCAAGGTGATGACCACCTGTAGGCACTGCTCAATTTCAAGTCCCAGGGGTGTCAAAAGAATATTTTTGCTTTCATCTTTTTATTCATTTTCCCCTCCATGGCTGTCCTTTATTGACTTGATTCTCAGACATAGTGGCCCAGAGTTTTGATAAAGATGTGCACTAGCATTAAGCTTACTTCCCATTAATTTTGTAACCTCAGTAAAAGCATATTTCTCTCCCAACAATTCTAGCAAAATTTCCAGAATCAATTTGGTTTGGCCTAGTTTGGGTCACTTTAACTAGTGAATGAATAACTGTGGCAATGGAGATATAATAACTATTGGCTAGATCTGGATGATTTCCATCATCAAATAGTTGAGTTTCTGTCTCATCAGAGCCAAATTAACTGAGAATGGAGTGGATTCCCCAAATAATGCTGCATATGTAGTAAACCGATGTGAATCATAGATGCTTTAATTTTATATACAGGAAGATTAAATAATTGGTGTCAGATCACAATGTGGGTCTACTAAAAA